CACAGTCACATTGAATATTAACCTATGGATTAACTACAGCATCGTTTTTATCGTTTTAATGCCATTGAAGAAGACCAGTTTTGACCAGACAAAACCAAGGTAAGCCATGTTAGCGTTTTAGGCTACCTAGCGCCACATGTTTTGATGTTGATAACATCGCAAGTTTGTATCTTTCAGTGTAAAGGTGGGCACCGTTAGATTCTGTGTCTTTACGATCATAAACGATGTGTTGGATGTGCAGCTAGGATAAGTAATAAGGGAGCTAGGAGTGATTTTCGGTGCAGTAATAGGTTAGCATTTTTCGCTATGGGCTAATTCAGAGGGTCAGTGTTAGCATTGTGTGTTTTTTAAAAAAAAATGAAAAAGATCAGTTAAATTAGTTTTTTCCCGTTATATGGATATAAAATATTCATAGTTCATTAAATATTAAGGTTCCTTATATGTTGTTTCCTGCAAATGACGCGATTTCGGCCCCGGAACCGGGTCCGTGGGGCTTAAGAGGTTTTAATTGTGCTACTGTTCAGTTATTTTCTTTGCTGATGTTAATAAAGTGTGCTTATACACTATCACCTGTATGAGGCACTAATAGAGTATTTTTAGTTTCAGAATATTTTACTTCTAGAACTGCTGCATTTCCTTCAGTGGAGAAATTGAAAGGAGCCATGGAGGGACTTTCCTTTCCAAAACGAGACCTGAGTTCCCCTGAAAGCAATCTAAGAGAACGTTTTTGATGTGCAGCTTTGCTTAGGAGTCATAACAAGATAAATAATTAACCATTAGTTTTATCAATATCTCATCCAAGGGTTGGAATATAACGAGAATAATTCTCCTACTGACTGTCTGCACTAAGGCACCGGAGACACCCATTTAAATTGGTTGGTATTGACAGAAACACATTACCATTTCTTCTGTGAGCTTGTTTGTTTATATCTAACTTTTTGGGTAGAGAAGTCTTCACATTAGATCTTTATGACACAGTGTCAAAACAGAGGCAAACACTAACTCACAAATCTCCTCATTATTTTTGGTTCGAATAAAGAAGACCTGAGCTGCAGTTTTAAAACCCAGCACATGATGAGTCTGACAAGCTGTTGACCACTGTCTCATACTTTATCTGAGCAGAAGTAGGGAGTACATGTCTTTCTCAGACTGTGTTATTAGTGTTGTGTAAGCTGGGCGGTTTTATAAAGTCAGCTATTTAATAAACTGGTCATGTTGTTAAGCTTTAAATAATGATTTCACATTCACATGGCTAAAGCTTTAAGTATTGCATTGAGCAAAGCAAAGACCACATAATGTTGTGGTGACAGAATAAGTGCAAATGTGTGTGGGTTTTTTTGTACAATCATTTGCTATTGAACTTCCATATAAGTGTGCATACTTATTAACAAAGAATAATGACTTCTTATACTCAGCTCCCTGTTGCTACAGAGTTTTGACAGGGCCTCAAATCTCTGCATTGACCTCAAGTACACGCAATAGTTTATTTTGAACATCCCTCGCTTAAACATGAAACAGTTTCCCACCACCATGTGTGTTTAACATGCTAAAGAGGACATATTGTGCTCATTGTGAGGTCCATATGTTTCTTCACATGTTAGGTCTATATAATGAAGGTTAATTGAAAGTAAAGCTTACTTTGGTTTTTGTGCTCTAGTTCTTCAAGGAATCTTACTGAGAACGCTATGTTTCCTCTGACTGCTTATGCCAAAAGCAATGAATTTGAATTTAATATTAGCAACTGAATAGTTTGTGTGTGGGCTTTCAGATGCTTCCCTTATGAATGTCTCTTTATTTTCTCTGTCCTTCATCATTTCCATTAAACCACACAAAGCTTTTACTTGTGTATGAAATCTTGTATGTATGTATTTTGTTGGCTTGCTTCTGTTCTACTGTTTCCATCGGGAGGTAGGATGAATGCTTGGATAGTTATTGTTATTGTTATTACAGGTTGTTGCAGGTTTCAACACGTTGATTGTCAGACTTTTAAATAACCTTTTAGACCGTAAACTTTAGAATGAAATGTAATACCGGTTAGTTTTTTGTGTTCATACTGACAGAAGAAGAAATTAATTAAGTATGAATGAGAATAAGACTTAGAATAACCTTACACAAATGTATTGGCATTTGAACCGTACAAATGTATACTAACTTTATCCACTGTGGTACCGAAGCTTGGACCACCGCCAAAGACATGGCCGAGGGCAGCTGGCAACTTTCAATATTTTTCATATGCGATTCTAACGCTTTCAGAAAATTCAATCTGAATTGAATCTAATCCAAAAAATGTCAACAGGGTATCATGATTGACACAATGGACAACGTGATAGACTTCATGCTTGACTATAATAGGCCTTATCTTTAGACAACGGTCAAAACATTTCTTTATGCAAAGAATATCACTTTTAGAAAATGTAAAGTTTCAGTTTCATGTCAGATTTCAAAATTGTATTTATCAGAGATATCTTATAGTTAAAAATGTATAGATATGAAACACTGTAATTTATCTTTGACAGCTGTACTGTATATTGAGAAAACGATCAACCAGAGCAATTTTAGAGGGAGATGGCATTTCCTTGTGACAACTCTATTTCTTTAACATTTCAGATCCATATATACGGAGCCCTGGAGGGTTCATGGAAAGAAATTTAAATAAAACGAGGCCACGTTTTATTAATTTGTTCCCACGATATACGTATCGCGTATGGTTAGACACATCGAACTGCCCGATTATTACAACATATTATTAGTTTTATGAAGAAGATGTCCGGTCGCCAGGACGTGTGTGTGTGTATGTGTGTGTGTCTGTGTGTGTGGGCATTTTGTTTTCAGAAGATATTATGACAGTGGCGTTTGTCCGGTGCACTCCAACAACATTTAGCACTAGCCTACATCGAGATTAAGATTAAACAAACTTCTTTCACTTGGGAATACACGTGTGTAAATGACTGTTTATGGTCGTTTGAAAACAAATGCCGGTGTCGGACACACACATACACCGAACACACACACCCACACAGAGCTGAGCTGAGCAGAGCACAAACACACACACATCATGTAGCATGTCACGTTTCCATAGCAACAACAACCTCCTGTCAACAGCGTAAACTCGCCTTCAAAGTAAAAGCATCTAAATAAAACAGGAAGTTAACCTAAATTACATTTAAGACATATACAACTGCAACGAAAGTAACAAAAACAATGTCATATCCTTTTCAGTTTCACAGAACACAAATTGGGTTATTTACATATCATGCGCCCTGGTGACCGGACATCTCCTTCATAAAACGAGTAATAGGGGGAATAATCGGGCAGTTTGATGTGTGTAAAGGTGTGTGTGTGTGTGTGTGTGTGTGTGTGTGTGTGCGTGCGTGCGTGCGTGCGTGTGTGTGCGTGTGTGTGCGTGTGTGTGGCTAAAACGTAGCAGCCTCGATCTCTATTCAGGTGTTCTAATTAAGGTAAACACAGTGAAGGCGCTGCGTAAAAGATACAGCTCACTGCGCGCAGATAGCAGATACTGTGAGAGTCACGGACATTGATTCATAGATCAAGGCAGACTGGTTCACAGACTCTCCTGTTTTGCGAATCCCGTGCTTGAACAAATAGCTCTACACCTCTGGCCGAAATGTCCTTAAAATGAAGTCCGAGTTTGAAATATATCTCAATTAATGTATGCACTGCCATTTCCCCATATAAACATAACAGTCTGCAATGAAACGGTTGTCTCCTGTGCGCTCCACTTCCTACTTGGTGCACCGGTAACTTTTTCGTGCGAACGAGAAAGTATATTGTGCGCACAAATTAATAAAACGTGGCCTCGTTTTATTTATTTTTTCTCTCTATGAACCCTCCAGGGCTCTGTACATATACTTTAAAATTATTTTTCTATTTAAGTGAAACATCATTTGAGAACAAAACATTTAGAACCCAAAGCAAGCGTTATAAATGAACTCTGACTACTTGTGTTTAGGACTCACTGTATTTTGGTACTCTCTAGGTCAGGTCAAACTCAAGGCCTGTGGGCCAAATCCGGCCCCCGACTTCATTTCATTTGGCCCGCAAGAGCTTCAAAACATATAATACGTTTATTATACGGTTTCATGCCACTTTACAGAAGCACAATGTCCATAAACTACATCATGCATCACAAGACAACACATTAACTATGTAAATGGTCATAAGACATACACTGAGCACTTCCTTGGCATCAAGGTAATCACTAGAGAGAATACATTTGTGGAATAATAATCTTTTCTAATACTCATGAAATAGAAGGAGGAGGAGCTACATTCCTGGAATATCTGTACTGAGTCATGCTTTGTTGCGAACACAACGGTGGGGAGCCTTTGTTGCAGTCGCCTCAAAAGACATGCGCCAGTCTTTGAAGCTGTCAATCTCTTCTGTCAAAGACCATTGCAAGACTATTTATGTTTGGATTCTCACTTGAGGAATCTTAACCTGAGCCACAATGAATTGTCTATAAATAGATTCCCAACATCTCTGTTGTATTAAAAATGAATAAGGCCATCTTAACGAAAAGTTCAAAAGCAGCCTCTTGCCATTCTGTCTAATGTTATCTCTGTGCTTTTTCTGTGCTGTCACTCCTAACCAAACTCGGGGTGTGTGTGTGTGTGTGTGTGTGTGTGTGTGTGTGTGTGTGTGTGTGTGTGTGTGTGTGTGTGTGTGTGTGTGTGTCAGCATTGAGAAAACATTAAGGATGTTGGTAGATATGCCACTAATTCTGACTGACTTCTGCATTAGTGTAACTGTCAGCATGAGACTGCTTGTTGGTGTGTGTTCACAACACTTACAGTTGGATTTATTTTGGCCAAAAGGCCTGATAAGTGTTTCTGGATGAGAAAATACATTTTGTGTGCGACCATGAAAGCAAGTCCATGTGTTTTTTTTAATCTAATGTGCTTAGAAGGATTTCAAGATAGTGGGTGATATCTTTTAAATGACCCTTGAATCACAAAGAATATAGAATATACACAACTTACCAAGGCTGAGCTCCATCTGAGACAGCTGGGGCGTTAGCATAATACCTGAGAGACGGAGAAAAAAAGAAAAATAGAGCGGTGTTGAGATCATTGTAGAGGAAGAGGGAGATACAAGTTGAGAGGAGAGAAAACAGTGGATCAATGGAAGAAACCAAGAAGCAACACACATGAAAGTTAATCTGAACTATTGCAGTTCTTCTTCGCTTACACGATACAAATAATGATTATTTTACTCATAGTTTAACCTGTTGATTACTCCTAAGTCTATAGCATGTCAGAACAGAGTGAACGATACCCATCACAATTTCAATCAAATAACTTTTTCTTTTTAAGATATGACAAGTCCGAAACCCAAAGACATCTGATATACAAAGACATTAAACGAAAGGGAAAAAAAGCAGCACATCCTCTCATTTTCCCAGCAGGTCACTATAGTTAAATGCTATGCATGGTTTCTATCCTTTAAATCAACCTTTTCTTTATCTACTAAATGTTTCGAAACATAGGGGTGTCATAGTGGGTTGTCCGTTGGTGTTGGGATCAGGGGGTCACAGGTTCAAACCCCACTGCAGTCAGCATGTCGTTGTGTCCCTGAGACACTTCACCCCAAATTGCTCCTGTGGGGATTGCCCACAGTACTGAGTATGTAAGTCGCCTTGGATATAAGCATCTAACAAGTAACATGTAACATAAGTGTAGCTCTATGTACTGTAAAAGCGAACTACATAGCCAATACCCTGAATTAGATTTAGGGGTCGGAATCTGCTTTATAACAAATGTGGCACTACTGTGGAGAAATCATTTTAATCGGCACCAAAATAAATCTTAACAGTCTTCAAACACGCTAGGAGCGTGACAGAAAACGCCACAGTGATTGATGTTACTCTTCATGTTAGATTATGCAAACACACTGCATTCTTTGAGAGTGTCAGAACAAGGAGATCTAGGTATCCATTGTCCTCCAGGGCTGATGCCATCATGAAGAGTGGAGGACTGACTGCTTGTATCATCTGTCACTAACGCTGTCTCTCATTCATCACTCCCACAGTCCAACTCACACACCGAACAGATGAAACACCTGCATAATGGTGCAACGCGGAGAGGGGAAATGCCGCTCTGCTCTTCCTGCGGTGCTTTGACACAATTGGCCTCTCTAAGGCTCATCAACCCCACTAATGGGCCATGGATGCTCGATGCTTACTGATGTATGGGGGGCCACACGACTTTAGTTAATAGTCATTTTATATAATGAGGATCCTTCACTAAAAATGATTTACTTGTGTTTCATAATTGCTGCATTCACTGCACTTTCTTGGCAGCTTGCATGGGAAGTCGGGGTCAGTTTATTTGTAAAAGCCTTTCATCACACTTCAAGGTCTTTGCAGGGGTAACAAATCCATGTTGAATTGACTAAACAACAATCACACAACAAATGAGGCAATATGAAAAGGTAAGACACCTTTCATTAGATGTCATGCTGGACAAACATAAAACGTGCCTTAGCTTTAAGATAAAAGCAGCAACCACTGACCCCCTCTGTGAAGAGAACACCTGTCAAGTAAACAGTATCAGAGCTAATGTTGAGGAAACCTGGGGTGGGGCGAATGAAAGAGGCAAAGCATCTGTGTAATTAGCCAAACTTAATAGTTGTTCTCGTGGGATCTTCCATTTTAAAAAAGGAAGATTCTGGCCCTCAAAGGAAAAAATGAGTTTCATATGCATAGATGAATAAATGTGGATCTGCTAAAGGTCACAGTCATGTTATGAATTATGGTTAGGGTGGATATTATATGTTACATTCAAATAGATACACTAAAACCAGCCTTACATTCAATTACGTTTGTTTATGATAAGGTTTAGATTTTCTTTAATGTCTATCGCTCTCTTTTGAAGTGTTGATTATTAATATTATTTTTTGTATGCCTAGTATCACACAGTAAGCAATGCATTTTGTATAAGTGATAACATAATAATTAAGAAACCTTCATTTTATACAGATTTGCAATCGACTGTTTCACCTTTATGTTGTGGTTTCCAGCACTCTTACTCCCAAATATGTATTTCAATATAACCAGTATTCCTGTTAGCTTTAAACATGTGTTAAATTATAATATAGGACAAGGTGTGTGAACATGAAACTGTTCAGAAGTGTTGATGATAGTTTCACAGAGTTTCAAAATATAACCACAATTGAATTCCAATAGAGTATTCACCTTTAATTACATCTACTCCTCTGACTGTTTAATGCACGCAAAACAACCAATGATAAAAGCATTTCTTACTAATAACAAGTCAAATCAATTATGGGAAATATTACTAATAGTGTCCTATTGGCAGTAACTTGCCTACTGAGGCTGAGAAATGCATGGAAACTTGCAGTACATATCTAAATGAAGCAAATATGTTGACAAATTGTAAAAATAAATCACAATATGACAGTGTTTTCTCAGGTGTCAGTGAATTAAGCTTGACAGCTGCTGTCGGGGTAGGTTACATTTGAATAAACAGGCTTATGCAAACTTAGAGCAATTTCTGTTATGCATACTAGAACTGTAACTGTCTAATTAATCAAGCACACACATAGTTCAAGAGCATGGGCAACGCACATGCACACAAATAGGCCAATTAAGTATGTAAATACACTTTCTGTGTCATTATGTGCTTTTCACATTACTCTCATCATTATCCCGTTCTTCAGGGGTCGTGTCTCTTCTTGTTGTCACCACTAAGGCTTCCTATGCGAGTGCTGATTAAACTTTAATAAGCCTGGATGACATGTTGTGTTGTGGCAACGCGGATCCCTTTAGCTAGGTGGGCTGAGACGGTGCCAGCTGCTGGGTCTCTGGTGCCATCATAAGGGACTGTCACTTGAATAGCCCAGTTACTCTGGAGGACTCCATCTGTGCTACACACCAACTTATCTAGGGAAAGCATGGGGAAAATATCTGTCATTGCAGAACTAATTGAATACAGATAAGAAGTAAAGCTGAGTCTGATATGGGTTTGGGATACTGATCATGAGACGTACACGCATATGGCAACGAGATATGCTTGATAGTGAAGCACTGGAGTTAAAAGATGTCTGAATTCCAGAGCACAGCAAGTATTTATAGAATACAGAAGGAACACGGCAAGATGCTTTGATTGTAAGACAGGAAACACAGGTTCTGTTGAATCTAAGAGAATGAATACATGACATTTAATAGTAAAGCTCTGGAAGCTGCTCGACAACATCCACAGTTATTAAAAATCCTGGAGAAATGATGCGTAGGTGACCCAAGGACAGAACACCTGTTATGTACGCCATGACACCGTTCTTGTCTTTGAGCACAGAGCACACCGCATGTCATTAACCTCTTGGTGAGAATGAGGCTGACCAAAACATATACACAAAGTCTAATTACAATAATTGCCCATCACACGGGGAAAGGTCAACCATCTGTACAGTCGATCTCAAACACATTCCCGTTAGGACGTGAAACCCACGGGTGATCCAGCTCCCATGTGTGGATAAGTACGTGGAGAAAAGTGGAACAGGTGTGGTATTTAAAATCGATATCCGCTGGCATTATGAATATGGTAATACGCTCAGCATGGCGACAGGCAGGCAAGCGGTACATGCAGATGTAACTCCCAGAGGGGCCCAAAGCAAATGAGCTGTGCCTGCCCGCTATACCGCAGTTTCATCTGGCTCTAGAAATAACAGCACAGCCCCCACTGTACCTCCAATCCATCACCCCCACTGTCTGCAGGTGGTATCAGTGGGGGAAAAGGCAGAGGATAGGGTAATTTATTAGGCTGTGAGCGTAATAGGGGATTTCTCTGGAATGACAAAGCTAATTAATGTACAGGGACTTAAATTGTCCGTCTTGCAGATGATCATTTAACCCTCTTCCCTTCTCATTGCCCTGCGTCCTCACCCGCTGCACAGTGTGATAACAACTCACTAGCTCCGAGCAGACACTCTGAGAGGAGGGATGGAAGTAGGAAATGTGGGGGGGTGCGCACACACATTTCACATGGGATCGCTCTTTTATTCCTGACTCCACAAAAAATAATTGTGGAAAAGCTCCAAAATGCTGCCTGCTGCTGCTCCGGTCTACATCAGGCGCTTCGAGCTCGACTAAAAAGAATCAGGCAATTTCCAAAAAGAGCTCTGACAAAGCCCCTCGCAGTGGGTATCGCACACATTCTTAATCACCTCTGCTTATCCTCTTCATGAATAGATATTACATAAAGGAGCCTGTGCCTTAGTCCTGTTTATATTTTGAATATCATTTACTTTGGATGTTGAGATGACATTAATAATTCACTTATATGCACTAACGCTACATAACATGCCCACAAATTGCCTTAACAACACCTTGACACCCCCTCTGATGATTCAGTCATCAGCGAGGCTAGCATACCGCTAACACAGTTGATGTTTGCACAAACAGGCGTCCCATTAGGACAAGTGGTGCTGAATGGTAGAGTGAGTTATCGTCACATTACTGCCCTGGGAGATTGAGAGGCGACAGATGGTTTTGTTGCCAGCGTTTAATGAAGTGTTGTGAAAGCTGAGGAGGTCTTGACTGTTGCGCCAATGGGAGATGGAGAGCGGAGGGTTAACAAGGGCACGGAGATGGAGATGGAGACTTTTGCTCCACAACAGTTTGTGATGTCAGGCATCGTGCAATGAGAACCCAGTAGATCAAGCTTTCATCGAAAACACATAGGAAAAATCTGCTATGAATGCTTAATTGGTCAAATAACATAATTTCACCCCTTATGGAGGGGTTGTTTGTTAAATGCCAATTCAGTCCCACCTTAATAAGCACTGAGCAGCACCCACCTCTTTGTGCTGTCAAGAAGGAGGAGATAAACTATTTCACCTTGCGACTGATAATGCAGGGTTGTCAACTTGTCTTTCCGTGCCAAACATGGTAATTATGTTCTTCGCTCTTCCCTTTTGTCTCACGGGATGCTTCAGGGAAACAAAACAGAGGTACAGTGAGGTGTCATTTGTTGTTTTACTCCCACACCTGTCAGATGTCAACTCCAAACTGTGACAGTGTTTTTTTTTTATAGTAACGCATATCGAGGGTTCGCAATCAGGTCATCACTGCTGAAGCACGTGTGTGGCTGTGTGTGCATGATAACGTCTTTTCATATGTGTGTGTGTGTGTGTGTGTGTGTGTGTGTGTGTGTGTGTGTGTGTGTGTGTGTGTGTGTGTGTGTGTGTGTGTGTGTGTGTGTGTGTGTGTGTGAGAGTAATGGTGCATGTAAGCTGGTTCAGCCTGTATCTTTTTGGTTGGAGGCGAAAGAGACAAGGCATTGTGAATTACGCTTTCATTCCTCTTTGTACGCCTCCATTTACTTATCCCCATGGGGAAGAGGATGGTGTCGAGCTTGCATGCCAATGCAAATGCTTAGCAGAGCTGCATGCGGTGTCTGTCCTGTTGGTGAGCAAAAGGTATTAAACCTGGAGAGCCGGCTTTGTGGCATCACTGATATGGTTAATCTCTTCAGCGCTCTCCTGTTTTGATGGGCACTCAGACATCTAGTTTGCCTCTGCCAGTGCTCGTTAGTGACAACACTCTCAGGCTGTATGGAATATGACTGCAGTAAAAAGCAAAGCACACACACACAAACACAGACACAGACACACGCACATGAAGACGAAGACACACACACACATACGCACAAACCGACTTGTCGACAGTCTTTTCCAAACTTCAAACTGTGCAGAGCCACTAAATCTAATTCAGTGTTGTCCAAAATTAAGTAAGGCAGTCCTCTCCATCATAATTAATTACATTCTGAGGCAAACAAATTGTGATTTTAATTCCACCACACGGCAAGAGGCTAACATTTAATTGGAAACCTGTGGAAAGGATGCCACTAGGCTTTAACATTGATTTGCCGGATATCATTTGTGGAGACCCTTGACAATTAAGTTATCAACATGACATTGATCCCTGTCATCTTTGTATGTGCTCATTTCTTTTTTAATCATTCAAAGGAAACACTTTGTTAATGGCATGAATAATTTTACTGCCATATTAAATTGCAAAAATATGACCCTGATGCATCCAAAAAAATGACACTCAAGTCAATTGAGTCATTAAGGATTATCGTGCATATAAAACCCTTCTATACAGGTACCTCCACCCTCTCTCTCAAACACACGCACACACACAAACACGCACACGCACACACACAATGTTTTTAGGGGCAACCACTGCAACAAAAAAGAAAAAATGCCAAAAACCAAACATCATTGGGACACGCATTTTGAAAAACGTAGGAAACTGCACAGGGAGAGAGAATCGTAAATGCAGACAAGGTGTTTCAGAGTTTAACTGCACTGAGGAGAGAGAGGAGAAAGATTAGGAGACAGACAGTGAGCTCACCGGCAGCGGTCAGTCCTTCAGGGTTGGCACTCAGCTCCCTCATGTCCACCATGCAGTGTCCCAGTTGTTGGGTGCCGTCCTCCATCTGTCCAGCTCTCCCTCCTCCTCCACCTCCCCTCCTACCTCCACCACGAAACACCACAGTCCAGTCCAGTTCCCCGGTTCACACGCAGCCTGCCACGCAGAGAAGCTGTCACAAAGATAGCAATCCGCTCGCCTCGCTTTCCTGCTGCCTCAGAGCGCGCTCCCCGGCAGCATTACAGATGCCTTTTGGAAACTAATACGGAAGAGAGGGACCGGCGAGGGACCTGGAGCAGCAGCGGCGGGAGGGAGGGAGAGAGAGGGAGAGAGAAAGAGAGAGATAGAGCAGGAGAGAGAGGGGAAGGAGGAGTGATGAGGGAGTGAGAATGAAAGAGAAAAGCAGGACAGAATTGATGTTATGTGCGATACAGAGCTCTATAGATCAATCTTGGGGCTGTCAGTACCTCTGACCAGACTGCACAGCACAACTCTGACGCTGTCTCTCCCCCCTTATCCTCTCACTGCGCAGCCAGTGCTGCATCCAGACATGGCAGCAGGGGTCCCTCTGATTTCTGACATCCGTCTCCCTCCTTCTCTCACCACTCCACCACCCCTTCCTTTCCCTTTCCAGCCTCAAAACAATTAACAAGCATCAGACTGCTGAGCTGAGCTGGCAGCATGCAGCATGTGATTCTCAAAGTTACATATGGTAGAGAGGAGGGGGAGAGAGGGGGAAGAAGAGAGAGAATTCACTGCACAGTAACAGCTTTCAGTGCCGTGTAATGTAATTGCTGACTATTACTCAGAATGGCAACTTGACCACAGGGTTAAATCAACAGGTTCAACAGAGTAGACCACAATAGACGATGTGTTATTGAGACAAATGCTTCTGCATTGTGCACAGCTGGGCTGGACCTCTGAAAATACTAACAAGTGAAGCGACTCAAGATTTTTGCTTTAATCAGCAATTATATGTAATGAAGTGCAGAGCAATCCTCTCTCTGTGTGTCTTCATCTCTTTGCCCTCCCCGCCTCCCCCTCCTCTCATACTGTGAAGGTTATTGTTAGTTATTTGGCTACCAAGGCCATGATGCTACAGTAAGACTGTATCTAAAATCAATGTTAATTTATACCCTGCTGAATGGAGGGTGTTGTGGTTTGAGCTAAAGCTCGATAAAGACACAAAGGACAGCAGCCGCAAACTCCTAAAGGAGGTAAAGATCCACAAAATGCATTATGGAACATGTAGAATCGCCCCTCAGTGTACACACTGCAACATCTGACAGCAAACATGAAAACAAAGGAGGAAACTAGCAGCTTTTTGTCTTTGAGAATAGGGGTTTTCTGTTTACTTGAGCTACAAAAAGATTCCTAGCACAAAATCTTACATCATTTTTATGAGCCATGCAAGAATACAAGAAATTGAAAATTACAAAACATAGGCTTGAGTATAAAAAAAACACAATTAAATCATCACAATTCTGTAACTTATTGATGATAAAATGTTTTTGTCTTTTATGTAACTCTGTGTACCTTCTGCGAAGCAGCCGTTCTCCATGTACAGAATAATAATACACAATGACCTGTTAAAGGCCAATTAAAGTGAAGCATTGGGGTCTAAACATCTCGAAATCTAATATCTATTGTTGAATTGATTGAATCAACTACAAACAAATAAGTATTGAAACCATATATTACATTGTTGTGTAATTATTCATTGAGGGGCCCTTTTTGTCAACTTGTACCTACCAGCTAGTGTTATCTCTGGGGGTTGTAGGAGATTGTGTCATATACCAGAATTCAATATAACTACCAAATCAGGCTTTGTTCACCTGTTTACTAGTACAGTTCTGGGTGCAACAAGAAATGTGCTTACTGTCAGAGACTAGGGCTGAACGATTAATCGATTTTAAATCGAACTCGCAATTTGAAGTGATTCGATTATCAAATCGCAAAGCCTGCAATTTTTTTTACATTTTTTTTTTTTCTTTCTTCTTGTGTGTCAGTCATCCACACCAATCAGAAGTGCTGTGCTCCACATGTCAGCCATTGTTAACCAATCAGAAGTGGCCCATTATAGAAGGTGACATTTACTTCCAATGGAGCTTTCCTAGATGGTTTGTTGAAACAAACCATCTGAGTCAGGTTGGTGATGCTCCGTCACATGTGTTACATCTATTACAGGGTGAATCTTAAACTGAAGCTTGACTTTAAAGCAACCAAACGGATGTTTCATGTAAGTTTAGTTCTTTCACTCGTAGCTCGGGCTGCGGCGGTGCTAGAGACGGAGCACGTTGATACGACCTATAGCTGGAGATATGGCCGCATTTTACAATAAACTTCCGTTGGGTCGCTTAAAAACAAATATCGCAAATCGAATCACAATCGCAATATTTGTCCGAAAAATCGCAATTAGATTTTTCCCCAAAATCGTGCAGCCCTATCAGAGACCTCAAACAATATAATCAGCCTTTAAAAGCAGGACGGGTCAAGTAAGAGCCCCAGGGGCCACGGTGAGCTCTTGCTTTCTTCAGGCAGCAGGTCTGGATTGGGTTTGTTGCCAAAACCCTAAATGAAGATAAATTGGTCCCTGCAGGAGCAATAAGACAGAAGATGAATCCACTTTGCACGAGGAGGTTTGTTCTTCACTTTCTACTACTCTCTCCATCCTTATCCCTGCATCCCTCTAGTGCTACATTCTTCTTGCTTTCCACCCCCTTTACTCTGTAAAACCATCAAGATGAATGTTGTACTCTTCGGATTTAATGAAAATGTGGTGACACGCCCTTACACAAAAACACAATCGTGTGTGTGTTCGAACCCACACACACACACACACACACACACACACACACACACACACACACACACACACACACACACACACACACACACACACACACACACACACACACACACACACACACACACACACTGCAGACAGAGGCAAACAGGTCGGTGGAGTGATCCATTAACATTCTAATACGTTTCTTTTAAAGGCGACATGTGTTGTCTTATTAAAGCCTGACTGATAGAGGGGGCTGGAGAAAATCAATAGAGAATGCACTACAGATGGAAAATAGTAAAAGAACACTGGGAAGAAAACAAACATGCCCTTTGTAGCTATTCGGCCCCAAAGCCTGCTGAATAGGTCCTCACATTTACCCACTCCAATAGCACTTGAGGCCCATTATAATTTCAGATACACTCCTTCACAGCATTAACTGAAGAGAACCAATAGCTTGATTCACTGTTGAGTCTGCCTCCGCCAGGGTAACACAGCTGTAGAGTAGAAAAAACTGCAGCCGCAAGACATCCCACGGTGTAAATAATACAATCTGTGGCCAAAACATTGCTCGGGGCACTCTGTGGACTCACCTGAACCTAAAACCCTGCTCATGAATCAATCAGTATTAATTTACATGTTTAATATCACATGGACTTGTTGTTTTATATATTATGCATTCATCTAGCTACTGCATGCTGAATGTGGCAACCAAAAGAACAAGAAGGACAACATAAAAGTATTCACCTCCTGGTCTAGACAGCTACCCCTGCTGGGTGCCCTTTCTTTGATTGTAACTTGTTCCAGACATTTCTCAAACGGCAAATGAAGAAGACACTCCACACCTCGGGTGACAGCACAAGCGAAAACAATGAAAATGTGCTGGACAAAAAGTGTAGACTGAGATCAAATGTATTACAATGTTTAGTAAAGATTTTCACTTTAATGTGGATACAAATCAATGAATGAAAAGTAGCAGCGTTAACAAACGTCTAATACAAAACTCTGAAGTGCTTTGAGTTGTTTCTGGGAAATACTTGCTAAATAATGAAACAATCCCTCTTTCGCAGACATCAATTATCGAACATATATTAGATTTCTGATTACTGCATGCATAAAAGGGCTTTCGGAGACAAAGCACTTCACAGTTTTGCCTCATTCAACCATAAACAGACATATTCACACACCAATAGACATGATAACAATTTCCCATTGGGAGTAACTTGGGGTTCAGCGATGTGCTCAGGGATACTAAGACACAAGTGAGCTGGGGATCAAACCGCCAACTTTGAAACTAATGGGTGACCCCCCCCCCTCTGAGCCACAGGCGCCCATTGAAACGCAAAGTGTTGAATCAAAGTGGAGATATATAGAATCCCACTGTAACAATTACAGCTAATGAAATGAACCGTCAGACTGAACAACTGACTGTGAACAGGTCAAAATGTAAAATGTATGAAATAAAGGAAAAAGACAATAGGTTCACATTTTTTCATCTTAAAAAGTTTCCTGCTGAGCACACTAAGAAACTAAGAAACTAAACTGAGAAAGTATTTTTAATGTAAATGGAGGGGGAAGTCCACAGTCATAATTTGTGTGAAAAAGGATAATTTGATATTTTCTGGGTAAGATGAGTCAAGGGGTTATCTTCCAAAGTGACTTTTATAATTATTAAAGGGGACCTATCATGCAAAACGCACTTTTTGATGACTTTTATACATAAATATGCGTCCCCGGTGTATCAGGGAATTCACAAAATGTCAGAAAACAAAACCCTCTCTCTTTTCCTCCGTACCCAAATCTCTAAAAACAGGGGTACAACGGAGCTGATCCAGATTTACGTCCGATATGACGTAATATCGGAAATGTGGGCTGGCTTTACACCCACGGCCCTATCAGAAACGTCGGTATCAGAAACATGCGCACTGTGTTTTGGACGTATGGTCTTTTTTTACATTAGCAAGCATCGCTAACACTCAGAGCTAACCTGTACTGGAGAGAGTATGTGTAATAAAGCAGGAAATAAAAAAAGGAACTCACCTTGTAGTAAACTCGCAAGAGAAAAGCATTTGAGCTCCATACCTGTTTCAAGAACTATCCTTGCTGTGGTTTTGAACATGATATGGCGTTCATCACAGCATTTAGCTGTATCGCTGTAAGGAATTAGTCCCGCATGAGCAGGCATAAGTCCGCCCCCTCTTTTATTTTTTTTAAGCTTTATACATCAGATAAGCACTTTAGTTACGGGCTGAAATAAGAGGGATATGAGCATGGCTAGAATGTGGTGATCTGTTTGTATTTTGAACAAAACACTTCATAGACATGTTTTTTATATACCGAGACCAATAATATGCCTAAAAATAGCATGGTAGGAGACCCTCTAAAGTCCTCGCTTTCGGTAACATTTCTGTGAAAAACAATATCCATGATGCAGTAAATTAAATGTTTAAATTAACAAAAACTAACTTGAGCTTCTGCATTGAACTCTACAATGAGGGTTTGTGAGATTTTATCCCATAACTGACATTGAAATTACATTACATTGAAAGGAAGTAACTCTTATCGCCAGGAGAATAAATCACTGTGATCAACAGTCCTTACATGAACACATCAAACAATCTGTTAATATTGTCAAAGTA